CCGGCGCTCGCTCTCCTCCACCGCCCAGCTCCCGCGCTGCCGGGTTTCCTGTTCAACAATATAGCGAGGGAGGCACCAGCCGAGCGCACCAGGCAGAACTTCCTCCCGGGCTGGGGCAGGGCTGCGGCGGCGAGAGACAATCCCCGGTGTCCTGGCTTCCTGTCCCCTCTGGGCGAGCCAGCGCCCTGGGAACAGAGGCGCCACCCCTTCCCCGGCGCTTCCCGGGACCCGGGGCCACACCTGGCTGCTCCCGGGAGATGGAGGCAGCAGCACCAGGACAGGAGGACGAGGGGGTCGGGTCTCCTCACCTACTTCTGGCTGAATTTCCCTACCAACGACTCGGTTCTCCTCTTCTCCTGGATCCTGGTTGGGGAGGAGGGCGCCCCTCCGATGTCTCCAGGGTAAGATCAGAGCAACTTCCTGGGGCCGGACTCATCCTCCTCACCTTATCTCTGCAGCTGCTTCCGGTGAGCTGGGGACAGAACACCTACCTCACAGGATTGTGGAGAAGATTAAATGAGATGCACTAAGGGCGATGTTGTTATGATCACATTATCATTATAAAACACACAGCGTATTAGCTGTGATTCATGCTACTTTTAGAAAAATACATTTTTATTGATTTCAGAGAGGAAGGGAGAGGGGGAGACAGAAACATCAAGGATGAGAGAGAATCATGATCAGCTGACTCCTGCGGGCCCCTTACTGGGGATTGAGCTTGCAACCCAGGCATGTGCCCTGACTGGGAATAGAACCGTGACCTTTGTCCATGCTCAACCACTGAGCCACGCTGGCCAGGCCTAACACTACTTTTATAACGAGAGGAGCCTCTTTGGGTTTGGAATGAGGTCTCCAAATCTCCCATCCTCCTCTAGATGGTGGTGGTGGGTGTGGGGAGGGGGCAAGAGTCCTCAGAGGCACTTTGCGGAGAACAAAGGCGTCGAGTCCAAAGGCAGGGCAGGTCACTTTGCCCCTGGTCCTCTTGCCCCAGGTGGGCCTGCCTCCCACCCCCCCCCTCAAACCAGGTTCCTCCTGTCTCCCTGGAGCCCACCCCCACCTACTGCCCCTGGGGGGAGGTGAGCTTGCAGAAGCTGGGCTCATGGGATGGGCAGTGGGTGCTCCCTCATGGGCCGAAAGGACAGGAAACTGCAGACCTAAATGTCATATTTTCCAGTCCCATTTCCCTGCAACCTGATTTCCCGGTAAATTAGCGTTTCCTTCTTCTGTCCGTACAGTGGGCAGTGGTGGGCTTCCCCTTGCAGGGGCCCCCTGGACCTTCCGAGGAAGGTCTACAGACAAATAAAAGCCCATGTGAGCCCTCAAACCATGAGGGCGGAATCAGGGCCCTGCCCAGCCTGTCCTTCCTGAGCCCCTTCGCTCAATCCAGTGGGAAACGTAGGCCTGAGATTTCACACATTCCAGGGCCAGGGGTCTGTGCTTTGGCATGGAAGGCACAGGAAAGAAGCCATGGTGGTGGGATTTCAGGCATCGGCTTCAGTTGTTGCATAGGAATGAACCTCCCTGAGATCCAACCCCATGGGGGCCCTGCCTCCTCAGAATCCAAGGGTGGGGTATATACTGAACCTGTGACTGCCCTCTCCTCCATGCCCACTGCTGGCACACAAGTCTCCTGCTTGCAAATGTTTACCACTCCCCATCCTCTCCTCTCCGGTGCCTAGGGACTAACAGGAGAGTGGAGGCCCAATCAGACTGGCAATGGATGGCCCAGGGTCTCCCCCATCAGCCACAGCGTGAGGATTCAGAAGCCAGACCAGAGATTAGAAACATCAGGTCTTTACTGCAAAATCATTCAAACAACACAGCAGCAGTTCCTTCAGTACGTCGCCAAGCACCAGGGCCCCGGTACTGCAGTTTATTGCATAAAGTGACACTTTAAAAATAGTGTGGCCACCACTGGAGTTCACATCAGCTTTCAGTCGGAGGTGAGGAGGTGCAACTCAGCTCACCTGAAAGCATCAGCAGCTTTTGGGGATGGGGGAGCGTCAGATTTAATGCTTCTAATCTCTGGGAGCGCGGGGGTGGAGCGGACTGAAGTAGGCGCCTCCAAGGTCTCACTCCTGCCCCCTCCTAGGGCACCTCGTGGAATATAGAACATACAGGCCCAGCCAGGGCCACACTGCACCCAGGCTGGGCTCCTGCCCACTCAGGGATCTGGGGCAGTCGGGGCTCTGATCAGGCTGTGCTGGCACAAATGCTCTGAGGGGTGGGATGAGGATAAGGATCCATTTCTGCTTCTGGAGGCTTTGGTGTGCTGGGCACAGGTGTGCACCATCTTATGAGAGGGGACAGAGGGGCTGTGTGGCAGCCCCTCCCCCACCTGCCTAGCACCTCCTCTGTTCTATTGCACAATTTATCCAGCTCCACGGGGCTAGACAGATGACTCAGCAGCCAGATCACCCCAAGGGAGAAGTGGCAGTAAGCTCATCTCCTGGCAGGACAGGTGGGTCTTCACATGAGGCCCCCAATCTCAAGCTGAGTGCAGAGATGACCAGAGGGCCCCAGGGCGGAGGGGGGCTTGCTGGATTCAGGAGAGGAGGCAGGGATGCAGCAGAATCCCCCAAGCCCCAAGGGTCTAAATATCATTTGAAAACAATTCCAACACTCCTTCAAATGGCAATGGTGTTTCAATGACATTTCCCAGTCTCCAGCGGCGCCCTTCCCGGGCCAGTCCGGCAAAGCTGTGTGAATGCATGGCTTTGTGAACGGAGCGAAGCCCTTCCGTGGCCCTTCCCCCGCTGGCCCCCGCACATCTCAGCAGCGGGGCTGGCACGCTTCGTGAAGGACGGGTCACTGTTCCACAGTGTGTGCCAAGGCCGGCCCCCGGCCTGGGCTGGCTGCCCTCTCTGTGAGCCCAGACTACCTCTGTCCCAGCAGGGGTCAGGCAGGCAGGGGTGGGACCTCTGAGAGTGTCCCAGTGTAGGGTAGGAGTGGGGTGGGCCGGTCCCTGGCCCAAGGAAGATGCAAAGTGCTGACAGTGCTGGGTTGAAGTCATTCCCCTTCTCGTGCAGGGACCAGAATCCCGGCTACAGAAGAGACAAGGGGCTCTGACACAGAGAAAGATGGGCTTTTCAGGTGGGGGGCATGGGACAGGGAGTAGAGAGGGAGGGAAGAAGGTGGCATCAGGACCGACCCGCCTGGCCCCATGGGCTGTTTGGCACATTGCACTTGAGCTGTTGGCAGCAAGCGTCTGGGGAGGGTGAAGGAGAGGCAGCTGACAGGCTCTGTCCCAGGGATGCCCAGCCGCCTGCCTGTCTGCAACCAGGCCTGGGCGGTACCTGCTCATTCGCTCATGGTGAGAATGCCTGGATTTCTTGGGTGATTTGTATAGGGTTAAGAATAAAAAAATATTTTCTATTGAAATAGGAAGGGGGAAAACCCACCTTAAAAAACTAGACCTTTTAATCAGGCATGTGGATTTGAAAATGCGCCCCAAGTCTTATTTCCACAGTGTGTGAACAGCCCTGATGGGGGTGCCATGTCAGTGAGATGAGCTGGAGCCTGATTAGTGCAAAGTTCCCCCTCCCCCAGCACCCCGGACAGGGGGCGTCTGCTGGTGTCCCACCTCCTGGAGCAGATGGGAGGGGGGCATCAATCATCAAGCCCTCTGGTAGGCTCATGCTCTAGTCACATCTGAGTCTTCCTGACAAGGGAGACAGCTGTGACACCTTGAGAGTGGCTGGGGCTGATGGCAAACCCAGCTGCATGGCTGAGCGGAACCCTCACCCCGAGGCCTTTGAGGGGGGTCAGGAGACTGGGTTAGGTGAGAGTGTTCTGTTCGTGGTACTTGCGCCGGCGGGCACAGCGGGGGCAGCCCTTCACCACGGCCTGGCAGCTCTGGTGAAAGACGGTCTTGCATTCGCCACACCTGGGAGAAAGAGGCAAGTGCTACTTGTGCGAATGGGCAGAGGCCTCCCCTGGGGCCTGAGGCTGGCCAGTGTTCCTGACCAGAGCCCACAGTCGGGCTGTGTTCCACCCACAACCCCAGGCCCACAGGCACCACTTCTCCATCCAGGGAGAGGAGATTCTTGCAGCGATGCGTACCAAGGTCATGTGATGCCTGCTGACCCTCTATTTCATTTGTTATAAATGCTGCTGAGACTCACTAATGACTGCTTGCCTATGGTGAAGATTCTCTGCAGTTGGAAACACTCAGCCCAGGTCTGTTCAAGGGGCTGAGTCTGGGCCGGGGAACACCTACTGAAAATGAATGAATGCTCCCATCAGTTCAGATTTCCACTCCCACATGGGTTGGAAGAAAGGTTTGGTGGATGAATTTGTCCATTTAGAGGCTTCTGATAATGAGCGAGTGATAACTGGGAATAAGAACGACCATGACAGGGGTAGAGGTCACCCACCAGTTGCCCATTTTGTGCTGGGCCTTGTCCAATGCTCCAGGGCAATAACTCATTCAGTCCCTCCTCAACCCATTCACAGATGACAAAACTGAGACCCCGGAAGAGAGCCAATAGCATTCTCTGAGGGCTTGTGTTGTCCCCTGAGCAGGACTGGGGCTGACCATGACTGCCCAGGGCATCAGCTGCTCTAAACAACCTCACTAACCTGAGGCACTAGCGCAGAGGGGATGTTAAGTGTGTTCCCACCCAAGGACCCAGGTCTGCCACGCCACCCTGAAATGCTGGGGGAAGGGGAGGGGTGGGGCATCTGGCTGGGTGTCCTGCATACCTGACGGTGGAGTCAAACTCGAAGGGGAAGATGATGTCATGGTGGTGGCAGATCTGGCAGATGAAGCCACGCTGGGTGCACAGGTCACAGTGGTAGACATGCTGGGAGGCAAACTCGATCAGGGTCTTGAGGAATCCTTCATACACTCCCTCCGAGATCTGTAGGGGCAGATGCAGGCCGCCAGGCATTTTAGGGAGCTGTGCTGAGGCCAAGGCCGTCTGCAAACCGCGGCCTCTTGATGGCACCCTGCCTGAAGAACGGCTCCCCGGCTGGTGTGGCTCTGTGGCTGAGCATGAACCCATGCACCAAGAGGTCCCTGGTTCGATTCCCAGTCGGGGTACATGCCCGGGTTTCAGGCTGGATCCCCAGTGGAGGGTGTGTGAGAGGCAGCCGATCGATGTTTCTCTCTCATCAATCTTCCTATCTCTCCCCCCCTCTCCCTTCCTCTCTCTCCAAAAAAAAAAAAAAATAAAAAAAAAAAAAATAATAATAAAAACATTTTAAAAAATTAAAAAAAAAGAACTCCTATTCCAATAGAAGTGTCTTTCCGTTTGGGCATGAGATCCTCTCCAAATCAGGCCGAGCAGTACAGGCATCAGCCTTTGTGCACGTGGGGATCATGGGGTTGACAGACGAGGCCCAAATCCACTGTTCCTTTCCTTGAGCAAAGGAATGTCTCAAACTCTCACCCCTGTGATCCTGGTCTTTGCTGTAGTGCCTGCTGATTCCCGGGGCGCTGCAGGCTCACTCACTGCCCCAGGAAGCAAGGGACGGGGGGACACCAGTCCAAGGTCCTGAAAAGCTGATGACCTCTGTTTTGTCTCAGTGAACAGCAACACCACCCCCACCTCCCTTTCTGATTTTTTCCAGTAATGGGGTCCCT